AATATTAATTTTTTCTATTCAAAGAAAACATATTTAATGGTGAAAATCATGAATTTTGGAGCTAGACGTGGGTTCAAATTTGAACTTTGTAACTTAATGGTTTTTTAATCTCAGGTAAAATCCATTAAATTCTTTCAAGTTCTTTCCTCTCTGAATAGGATTATTAATATGAATCTCATCAGTTTAGAATGAGTTCTAAGTGAGTTTATAGAGGAATAAATAAAGCACAGCTCATATATGATAGTAAGTGTTCAGTAAATGTAATTCACATAATTATTAAAATATTCATTATTATGATTCCTTTAAAAAATTCTAGAAATCTTTACGTTATCTAATATGGTAAATAATTTTTCTAGCTCCATTGCTAAAAGAATTTCTTCAAATTCAACTTTATTTCTATATCTCTTAATAGAAATGAGGAAACATATTTCCTCTTCCTATAATAGTAATCTCAGAACGCATAACTATCACTTGTTGTATGTCTCTGTGAGTGACTATGTGGAAAGAACTTACCCGACTCACTCACATCTCTGTGCCTTGGCTTTGGGTATATGGCTGCAAATCTCTGCTAATTACTCCCATGCCACTTTCAGTGCAAATATCACTTATTATGTGCTGCTTCAATATTATTTTCTTTATTTCTAAGTTTGATCCATTCAGTCCTCTCATGGCATGAGTTGCTTTTCTTATTTGCACATAAGTATTTGAATACTTGTCAGAATGCTGCTTTCATTAGACACTTTTCATTATTGTGCTGTCATCACTGAACAAGTTTATTTCAAAGCCTTTTGAGAAAAATGACAAGAAACATAGCATTTTATTTCCTTGGCCCTTCATTAGATTAGAAATGTCAAGAAAGACTTAGAGTATATTTATTTTTATTAAAAGGAATGATAGGCTTTTCTTGAAAAAAAGAAAAAAATAAGAAATTTAAATTTTGAATGCTACCAGAATACCTGCATCTTAGGGCTCTATGCAGTGAAAAATGTTCTCTTCATTGTTTAGAAAGACTTACATTTTATTTTAAAATTCCTGCCTGTCTTTTTCTTTTGAAGAGCTAAAATACTCTAGTCATTCTAGAACACCAGCTATGAATCTGAAATGAAATCTGTTAGGTGCCAGAAACAAATTACCCCAAAGTTAACCTAAAATATCATCAGGGTAACACCTTCAATTACAAATTATAGTAACAGCTAAGATAATAAATTTCAGCAGCTATTAAAAGAGAGATGATAATAGTACCTTTGTCTGAGGCTTGTTCTGATCATTAATTCTAACTATGTGGAGAATCTAATACTGCATGTGAGGCTGAACTCTATGAAATTACCAATATTGAAGCATTTTTGGCCGACAGAAGCAACAATTTCATATGGTTCAACCGAAGTGTTGCTCCAGAGTTGTGAGTTTCCCATTCACCATAGCACTGACCTTCAGCCAGGACAGTACTTACTAATTACAACCTAAAGGTCTCACGGATAGAGAGCAAGGCAGACTTGTTATGACAAACCTGTGTTTCCCTATCTTGATATAGTGGTGCCTCAGTTAGCACAGGGCTTTCACTCTCTTACCATGGCCAACTTCACAGCCTCAGTGACCCTTCAAACTTTCCATGACTTCTGCTTACCCATGGCCATGGTGTCTACTGATGGCATCACTATGCTCACTGCCTTCACCCACGCGATTCTCATATGTGTAATTTACTAGCCTGCTCTCTATGGGAGCCGGTGCCATAGAAAGTGTGGATGAGGTTATGTGTAGGTAACTCCGCTGGTGATGGGTTGATGTCGATCATATCTGACGCCCTTAAATTTCTAAAAATAGGAGTCATTGTATTCATTCTAGATTGAGGAGGATAGCATTTAAATGGGGCATAAGTATGCCTTATAAGTATGTAAAAAGATATAAAATTACCATGCATACTGTCTTTCAATAACAAAACAATACTGTAGTTTAGTATCAAGGTGACAAAATAGCCATTATTTTCTTACTGTAAGAGTCATTTAGTCTATCGTTTGCATTAGTGACAATTTTTCCAATGAAACTTTCTTGATTAATAGACTCTTTCTTTTACATAAATATGAAATAAGAGGGTGATAGAAACCAGATATTCTGTCTAGTTTTTATGACTATCAGATTACACAGAATAAAAGCATCACAATGACACAAAACGTAATCTTACACATTAGACAAATGCATACAACTTTAAAAAATATTGCAACCAAAAAGATATAATTAAATTACCCTGATTCATTGAAACTTTAGCTTTTAAAATGTTCATTTTTGTGGGTATAAATACATTTTATCTTAATTTTACACAAGTTACATTTATATTATTGTTAATGACAGACACCAAATTTAGTAATGTCACCTTGTTTTACGTTTTATAAAATTTGCTTCATTTTTCCACCAAAGAAGATATGCTGTCAAAATGTGGTGTTCCCTGAAATTTTAAAATGCATCTCTTTTCCTTGTGTAATTTTATAATAAAATAGTTAAGAATAAATAATTATTAAATAGTTAGGAATTTTATTTTGAAGACTGATATTCTAAGTTGTGTATAGCAAAGAAGTTATATAACTTTTACAGTCAAGGACCTCATAACATATGATAGATGCTAATTTTAATTAAATTCATTATTTCAACTTTGAAAAATGGGATAGGAGGAGAGTATGAATCAGAGGATGAAGTAAATCACAATTTATGCTACAGGGCCACATTTTTCTCACTTAATAGTCCATGATTATTTCCAAAGGTTACTTAAATCCAATATATGAATCAGAGCTTCAGATTTGGCATCGTACATTTTCACATAGATTTTAATTTGTGGAGAAAGGACATATTCTGATATTATTATGGAAAAGCCATTGGATTCTACAGTGTGATATAAGAGATTTCAGGTCTGGGTCTTCTTTATCAGTCAGCTTTTGTATTGCAATAACATCCAATCTCAATTCTCAAAGGCTCAGAGCAAGATCATTTGCTTTTTGCTCATCTGAGGACTGCTGGGTGAGTTTGGGTTGGCTGGGCTCAGTTTCACTGGGCTTTTGATTCCACGAGCCCAGAGTGAAGAAGCAGCCACTATCATTGCAGTGTTCAGCACAGAGGACGTAACAGGAAGACAGAGGCTGAGCCAAATCAAATAATCACATTGAAAGCTTTTGCTTAATCATACCAATGTCATGGCTGCTCATATTCATTGGCCAAAGCAGCCACATGACTTGGCAGAAGTTCGTAAGGTTCTGATGCTTATTCCTCCCATAGAATGAATAGGAATTCTCATATAACTGTAATTGACTATATCAAATCCCATTGCTGGAAGTGGGTGAATAGCTGGGAACAGTAATCCACTGTATTACACATGCCAAATCCAAATGATTCAGCAACTTTCCAGTTTCCTACTGGACAGAGAGAGGCCCGTCTCTTTGGAAAGTCACTCCTCCTTTGTATGACCATTGTGACAGACACTGGACTTGCAACTTGACTCCCTGCTGAAAACCACTTATATTCTGTTTTTGGAAATACTTGTAGTGGCAGTAGAGAAAGTAGAACAAAATGAGAAAATGGAGATGGCAGAGATCATGGGATCTGAAAACCAGTATAAGTCAGGGTAGGACAAAAGGAAGAGTCTGAAAGCAAACTTGGAGAGCTGACTCTTAGACCAGAATAGAAAACATTTTCTCCAAAGTATTCGCCCCTTTTCAAATGCAGAATTAGGCCGTCTATGTTTTATGATACCCATTGCCTTATATTCTTAAAAAGAAAGGAAAAAAAAAAGAGGTAACACTTAATCGTCCATAACAAAGTGTCAATGGGATAAACACATGCTTTTTCAAACCACAGATAGGATCCTGTTAATTTCCTGCTTAAAATGTGTCCATAGTGTCTTATTGCCTCATCGTACTGATAATAATGAGAGCAACAATTATAATGGCAAAAGCAAGGACTCCTACCGTTTCCTGTTTGCATATTAAATGCTCCACTCTACACTAAAAGCTTTATATACAGTCTTATTCCTCACAATAAATATGAGCAAAACAACTTTACCAAACTCACATAGTTAATAAAAGTATTTTTATGAACCACCACAATACTAAAAAACAGTGAAATGCTGCGCTTTCATGAATATCACCCAATCTAGCTTTCCTGACTCATCTCTTGCCTTCTCCTCTGTGACTGCTAAGTACAGACACACAGAAGTGCTGCCATTTCCTCACTATACTCTACTATTTCACGCCTCTGTGAGTCTGTATCCATGAATTTCTCCGCTTGGAATGGCTTTTCTAGCCACACTACTCCTTTGCCAACCCGACAGATTCTGTTTCTCCTCTAGTGTCTCTTCTAGACGCAGTCCTCTGCCACCTGCTCTAGGAAGGCATGCCGTAGGTAGATAACTTCTCTCCTGCATTCGCTTGCACTCTCCACACGCTGCAGCGATCACATACACCTGCACAGAAAAGCCTTTGCTATACGTGCCCATTCCTGGGCCTACCCAAGTCTTCCACCCTTCTCCAGATGTGGATACCTTTAGGGTCTTCTTTATTCCTATTTTATTTTATATACCAGTGTATATTCTAACAAGTGATCAAGTGACTTGAATGGAAATCTCAATAGCCAAACTGAGTCATTGCTGTCCATTTTTAATATTTAACAGAGAGATGAATCTATTGGAGGCAATCATCTGAGATGATCAGATGTAATGGCCAATAGCAACTATGCTAATCATAAAATTAAAAATGTAAAAAATTGCTTCATCAAATTATTTTTAAAAATGTATCTAAAACATAGTAGGCTGAGCATGGTGACTCGCACCTTTAATCCTAGCACTTTGGGAGGCCAAGGCAGCAGGATTGCTTGAACCTAGGAGTTTGAGATGAGCCTGAGAAACATAGTGAGACCCTGTCACTACAAAAAATAATTTGAAAATTAGCTCCGTGTGGTGGCATGCACCTGTAGTCCCAGCTATTTGGGAGGCTGACATGGGAGGATTTCTTGAATCCAGGAAGTCGAGGCTGCAGTGAGCCGTGATCGTGCCACTGAACTCCAGTCTGGGCGACAGAACAAGACACTGACTCAAAACAAAACAAAACAAAAGGCAAAGTCAAAATTTGGATGTTCAGTATGTTCATTGCTACTTACACACACGCGCACGCATGCAAACACACACATTCACAACATAGTTTTATCAGAATACACCTATTCCGATAGCAGAATCTAAAGCTTACATAAGTGTTCAAGCTTTGGATTCTGCTGTTCTCTGGATTACTCATCCCCAGTTTTCCAATCCATCAATAAGGATAGCCTTAATTACCTAATAAGCATTTTATGAGTATTTCAAAAAATAATGCATTTTAATGAAAAATTCTTAGAATAGTTCTTGGCACATAAGTCATATTTAAATGTCTCCACTGCCTAATTCATACAGATCGTACCCAAGTGAAAGTGTATCTATGAAGAATAAAAATGAAAACAGGAAGTGAGACAGTAAAAGGAGGACGTTATTTAGATTTGATAGCATGGTTTCCAAAGGCAGTGTCCTTTTACAAGCGTTCAGGTAAATAACACATTATTGGCAGAGACAGATGGCAAAGCTATTTTAGAAATAAAGATGAACCGGGTAAGTACATGGCAGTTTTGGGAAGACAATGTAATGTACCCTTTTTCCGGAGTTTACTTCAATGTAGAAGTACTTTAAAAAGTTAGAAAATAGGGTACATATTAGGTAAAAGGGAATCTTGCAAAAATGGATCCAGCAAATATTAGTGAAGAGAAAAAGATGATCAGAACTCTGAGTTTCAGTGATTTGTCTTGTACCATATTTAAGCTATAATAACTGAAGATAGGAAATCAACCAAAAAACCGTCTGCAAGGTGATGGCATCGTTTAAAAAAATAGAGAAACATTACTGCCAACTTAAATTGGAAACAAATTGGAAACTATTTTTAAAGTTATATAAATACCAAATTTCAAAAGGATTGCCTGATATCAGAATGGGAATTTCTAGTAGAAAGCTGAACAAAATGAGACTCAAGGGAGACAGTGTGGTGCTAAGACTGGGTAGAATAATTCAGATCTCAACCATGGGAATAACACGTTGAATAATCATATGAATAATAACACGTCACAATAATCCTGTGAATGAACATTGGAATTTCAGCATGCAAAGAGGCAGCATTGTTATTGCCAAAATAGTTGAGTAGAAAGGAATTTGTTGATGAGTGATTTCAAGATACATTTCTCTGAGCATCAATGTGCCCATTTTGAAAATGCAATAATAAACAGCCCTCACATAATTGTGAAGAATAAAAGCAGATTATTTGAAGTGTCTACCACTTTGCTGATAGGGATTCAACAAAATTAAGTTTTTCATGCCAAAGTGTAGAATTATCAATCATTGCCTCACGGGACATCAACAATGTTGATAAGTAGTAGAGAGGTTGACTTGATATTAGATAACAGTAGGTGACCAGTGAGCCAAGACATTCACTTCTTTGGCTTTCCTTCAGTAAAGTAAGTTACCTAAAATCTGAATTAGAGTAAGCAGATGTTGACAGGGATACATGAATAGGAAAGGCATGCAGAGACTTAAGAAAGAAGGCATCTGGGACATTTGCCAAGAAGGATTACAGGCAGGTTTTATGCATGCAAACCTGGATGATGCATATGGATCGCTTACTGTGCTGACTTCGTTCAGAGGTGGTATAATTAGACAGAGAGATAAAGCCGCAAATGTGACTTAACGTGGGCACAGACTATGAGATAGGTGGCATTTGTAGCAGGAAAATGTAAGGGCCAGTTCCAGAGGTTTGCACTGTAGCAGTCCATTGTGATGACAAGATCCTGGAATTCATCACGAGAAAGAGTGAATCATGTGGAGAAGAAAAGTGAAAACAAGAAGGATGAACCCACTCTGGTGGAATTTATGTCTTCCTCCCTTCTTAATTTTGACTGTGAATAAATCTTGTTGCCAAAGAAAAGGTCATTACTAATAGCATCAGTCACGGATGAAAACAGACTAGAAAACTTGTTTGTTTTATTGAACATGATTCAGCAGCAGAGGTGATTTGAAATATTCAATAGGAAAGGAATTCATGCATGCATAAAATGTGTTGGGGCAAACCCTACTGGAAGCTTGTTTGGGTCATAGGTCTTCCTGGTTTTTTCATTTGTGCAGCCTCTTGACAGGTCATCACTACTTTCTAATTCTAAGTTCTGAAAATTGTTATAAGGTAAGTTTCTATTTCATTAAATGTTCTATTAAAACAAGTTTTCTATTGTCAGTTTTGTTATGACCAAATTCATGAATGGAACATATAATAAAATGTTAGGAAATTTGGACATTTTATTTTATGATTATTGATTCTTAAATTTATACAAGGTCCATTATGTGAAATTCCCAGAAAAATTTAAAGAGTTTCCTTTAGAATATTTTATTTGCAGTTATTGACACATATAACAAAAATATGGGTAGTGTTTTTGCTTTCTATGACAAAATATTTATAGTTAAGATATTAAAAATATAATGAATTTTAATTATACAAATCTAACACATTTTAGAATGATAATCCAAACATGGAAACCATCAAAATCAGTAACTATATGTTAGTATCAATAAAATGCCAATTAAAAATATTTAAAAATATGAGAAAATACAAGAAAATAATTTAAGAAAACCTCTTAAGAGATATCTTAAGAAACTTTCTTTCACACATAAAATCCCATGCCTTACCACAACACTGCGATGCAAGTATTTTCTTCAATTTCTAGTGGAAAAAACAAGCATGACATTTGAAATATCAAATAAAATGTGCAGAATCAAAAAACAAATAAACAGTAAGCTAAAACTTTGAGGTTTTTATTTTTTCCCTACTACATCTCTAAGGTGCTGTGAGATTCATTTAAACTAGAACAAGTAGAATGTGCTCTAGAAATGGCATCCATAGGATGGTTTAATAACTGGAAAGCAATTATCCACAATGTTTTGAAATATACATTTGGTTTGTTTGCTTTTAGCCTTTTAATTTGTAGGTTCATTCAAGTTACCACATCCACCAATTAATTGCAAATGCACCTAGCCACAGTCAATAGTTGATTACTTTTGTTTTCTTTTATTTGAACTGCTAAATAACTGTTACTATGCGCAAATGTCTTGTTAGAATTATTTTGCTGTGAGAGAGAGAAATCTATCTAATTTCATGAATATAAAGGGGGAGATGAATTATGAGAAATATACAGGAGTACTTCATGAAACCCAACAACAAAAGGTACAACTGGAAATTACTACCAGAGCCAGAAGCAAGAGTGGTATAGGAACAAGGATGGCTACTTCTTACATCTCTGCCTCTTTTTCTCATTTTCTATGTATCTGCTTTATTTCCCTTTCTGTGTCAGTAAAGCAATACCGTCTGCTATTTACAAGACCCCCAAATGCCTGTTTTAGTTATACCTAGGTGTACTTGACTTTCCAGCTTCAAAAACTATCACATACTTCCAGATGTATAGGGGTTATGTCTCTTGGATTACATTCTAGAGGGATCAAATGGGATTGGTCCAGGAGTGCTAATGGATAGCATTTCCTTCTGTGAGAATGAAGGGAAGAGACAGTATAGTATGAACATGGAAGCACTGGCCCAATACTTTAGCCTAGGCCAGTGGTTTTCAAACTTGAGTCCCCATCACAATCACTGGGAGGCTGGTTAAGACACAGATTGTCAGCAAGTGTTCAGGTGATAATAAGGTCACTGGACCAGAGAATGTACTTTGAAAATCACTAGTTACGCTGTGGGATTGTAACAGTTCTCAACAAGAGGAAATGGACAAATATTCCAACGATGTGCTACCTGCACCTTTTTGTGCAGTTGAGCTGCTTTGATTATCCAGCAATTTTTTTTTTTTTTTTTTTGAGACAGAGTCTCGCTCTGTCACCCAGACTGCAGTGCAGTGGTGCAGTGGTGTGATCTTGGTCTCGTCTCACAGCAGCCTCCACTTCCTGGGTTCAAGCAATTTTCCTGTCTCAGCTTCCCAAGTAGCTGAGATTACAGGTGTGCACCACCATTGCCCAAATAATTTTTGTATTTTCAGTAGAGACAGGGTTTCACTATGTTGTCCATGCTGGTCTCGAACTCTTGACCTCAAGTGATCCACCCGCCTCGGCCTTCCAAAGTGCTGGGATTACAGGCATGAGCCACCACACCTGGTCTCTCCAGCTATTTGTCTTCATTGATTTATTAAACATTTATTGAGAAGTTATTATATAAGAAAATAAAATTTTATATTCCTGTATATACAAAAATTAATTCCTTAATAAATATAATCCATGTATGTGCCTGGATACTAAACCTCACAGCACATATTAATATACATTTTTTAAATATGTAATACCATTTTACTATTTTATTATCTAAGTACAGAACAAATTTTCAGAAAATGCAATCATTTATATTTTATACTTTATTTTCCCAAATATTTATGCTTACCATATGTGTTACATTGTAAATAAATACAAAGCAAGTAAAATAGTTAGATTGTTTGTGTCTGAGGTTTTCTTATTTACTATAATTTTTCTTCATGAAGAAAGATGTGTACCCATATAGTGATGGATCAAATATAAAGTTTACTTGTTACCATACATTAAGGGTCAGAATATCTTGAGAGGAATAAACTCTCTAAACTGTTTCTTCTGAAACCTGGTTCCACAGTAACATAGTCTCCTGATGTACGAATATACAGTCAATCAATCATCAGAGATGAACCATTCTTTTCATCACCGCTACTGTCTTTTGAAGTGACATTTTCCTAGCTGCATAATCTGAGATAATGTTTGGTTGTATAAAATATGCTACCATTATCACATGTATGCGCTGAAAAATTACGAATAAGCCATGTTTCTTAATTATGTTATCATACTGAGTGAGATGGTTTGGTTCTGTGTCCCCACCCAAATCTCATCTCAAGTTGTAATCACCAAGTGTTGAGGGAGAGACCTCGTGGGAGGTGATTGGATCATGGAGGTGATTTTCCCCATGCTGGTCTCATGATAGTGAGGGAGTTCTCATGAAATCTGATGGCTTAAAAGTGGAAGTTTCTTCTGCATGCTCTCTCTCTCCTGCCACCACGTAAGAATGTGCTTCCTTATCCTTCACCTTCTACCATGATTGTAAGTTTCCTGAGGCCTCCCCAGCCATGCGTAACTGTGAGTCAATGAAACCTCTTTCCTTTATAAATTGCCCACTCTCAGGTACTATCTTTATAGCAGTGTGGGAATTGATTAATACAGAGAATTGATACCAAGAGTGGGGTACTGCTTTAAAGATAACCTGAAAATGTGGAAGTAACTTTGGAACTGGGTAACAGGCAGAGATAGGAACAGTTTGGAGGGCTCTGAAGAAGGCAGGAAGATATGGGAAAGGTCAGAACTTCCTAGAGATGTTGAATGGTGTTGACCAAAATGCTGATAGTGACATGGACAATTAAGTCGAGGCCTTGGTGGTCACAGATGCAGATGAAGAACTTCGTGAGAACTGGAGTAAAGGTCACTCACGCTGTGCTTTAGCAAAAAGCCTGGCAGCATTTTGCCCCTGCCCTAGAGCTCTGTGGAACTTCGAACTTAAGAGAGACGATTTAGGTATCTGGTGGAAGAAATTCCTAAGCAAAAAAGCATTCAAGACATGACCTGGCTGAGTGTGAAAGCATTCAGTCCTATGCATTCACAAAGAGATTACCTAAAACCGATATATTTTCTGGGGAGAAATTCAAGCCAGCTGTTGAAATTTACATAAGTAATGAGGAGCTGAATGTTAATAGCCAAGACAATGAGGAAAATGTCTCAAGGCCATGTCAGAGATCTTGACAGCAGCCCCTCCCATCACAGACCTGGAGCCCTAGGAGAGAAAAATAGTTTCCTGGGCTGAGCCCGGGGTCGTGCTGTTCTGTATAGCCTCGGGACTTGGTGCGCTGTGTCCCAGCCACTCTAGCCTTAGTTGTGGCTAAAAGGGGGCCAAGGTACAGCTTGGGGCGTTGCTTCAGAGGGTGCAAGCCCCACACTTTGGCAGCTTCCTCATGTGTTGGACCTGTGGGTGCATAAAAGACAAGAGTTCAGTTTTAGGAGCCTCCACCAAGATTTCAGAGGACATAAGGAAACACCTGGATGTTCAGGTGGGATTTTACTACACGGGCAGAGCCCTCATGGAGAACCTCTACTAGGGCAATGCAGAGGGAAAATGTGGGGTTGGAGCCCCAACACAGAGTCACCACTAGGGCACTGCCTAGTGGAGCTATGAGAAAAAGGCCACTGTCCTCCAGACCCTGGGATCCATGGACAGCTCGGACTTTGTGCTTGGAAAAGCTGCAGGCACTCAATGCCAGGCCATGAAAGTAGCCCTGGGGGCTGTACCCTGCAGAGCCACAGGGGTAGATCTGTTCAAGGCCTTGGGAGCCTCCCCTCCTTGCATCAGCATGCTCTGGATGTGAGACATGGAGTCAAAGGAGATTATTTTGCAGCTTTAAGATGTAATGGCCAGCCTACTGGATTTGGACTTGAATGAGGCCTGTAGCCCCTTTGTTTTCACCAGTTTCTCCTCTTTGGAATGAGAGCATTTGTCCAGTGCCTGCACCCCCACTGTATCTTGGAAGTAGCTAACTTGTTTTTTATTTTAAAGGCTTGTAGAAGGAAGGGACTTACCTTGTCTAAGATGAGACTTTGGACTTGAACTTTTGGTTTAATCCTGGAATTAGTTAATACTTCGCGGGAACTGTTGAGAAGGCATGATTGGTTTTGAAATGTGAAAAGGACATGACATTTGGAAGGTGGCAGAGGTGGAATAATATGGTTTGGCTCTGTGTTCCTACCCAAATCTCATCTCAAATTGTAATCCCCACGTGTTGAAGGAGAGCCTTGGTGAGAGGTGATTGGTTCATGGGGGTGGTTTCTCCCATGCTGTTCTTGAGATAGTGAGGGAATTCTCACAGGATATGATGGTTTAAAAGGGCTAGTTTCCTCTGCACACTCTCCTGCCACCATGTAAGATGTGCCTTACTTCCCCTTTGCCTTCTGCCTTGACTGTAAGTTTCCTGAGGCCTCCCCAGCCATGTGGAACTGTGAGCCAATTAAACCTCTTTTGTTTAGCAATTACCCAGTCTCAGACAGTATCCTTATAGCAGGGTGAGAATGGACTAATACACTTAGTTACTGAGATTAATATTCAAAAAATTAATAACATCTTTTTGTTGATAAGTATCATAATATTATCTTAAAAGTTCCCACAATTTTTGTATGTGTAACTCAATTAGAACTAGCCCCTCTGCTTGTCTGCTCTCGTGTAAGTCATCTATCTCTCAACTCCCAACTATATCCCAAATACACATGCAATTGTAATAAATAATACAGAATTTAAAGTCTTATGAAGAGATAAAAATGAGAGGGCACACCAAAAAATCACACAATTACACTTCTTAAATTTCCTTATTATCTATATGCAGTAATTATTAACATTTCCTTTCCCAAACTAGCTACTACATCACTCTACTCACATATTCTAAAAATTTCTAGGATATCTGTTTCTTTTTCTTCTCAACAGAGAGTCTCAAAACTCTGATAACTCATATATTGTAGTCTGCAAAAGTTGTAGCTGAACAGTTTTAGAAATTCAGTCTTTAGCTCAGAACTATTCTGCTGAGGGAGACTTAATTTATTTTCTTCCAAATAAAATAAATATTAGGTCTCTATTTGAAAATGTATCCCATAATACCTAGACATGTTTTTTTGTAGAAGTTTTTTAGTACTTTATGTTTGAAAGGCATTGAAACCAATGATTCTATGGATAGGAAGAAATGAAATTAAACTGACTAATGAACAAGCCCCTCTGAAAAATTTCAAAAATAAATTTCAAATATTCGACCGCACTGATGGTTAGAAACATGCTTAGTGTGTGTGTTGCCATTTCTTTTATTGTTCTCTGCTTGGAAAGTGTGAAGGACCCAGATGGGTGATAATTTTCCACACTGGCCCTCTCCTGTCCCTGCCACTCAGCCATTTCATTTCAGTCCCTTTAGCACATGACCTTAGCCACTAACTTATTTTTCACCAGTCATGATAAACTCAGACTAGTGGATCTAATTAGCTATTAGCACGGCTAATAATCACAAGAACAAACTCTGTCTCTTCCATGCAGCATTTTAAACCAGTAATTCCTAAAATGATCAGAACTTCAGCTGACCCCCTTGGTAACCATCAGTAAAATCCTTGCCCCCCTCAATTGCACATCAGACAACTCCTTTGGTCTTTACTTATCTGACATTTTTCCAAAATGGCCTATGTTATCAGTGCTCTGGATAATTTCCTTCCCCCAGATGTTTCCAGGAAATCCAGTTGAGCAAAATCATAATTTTATATGCCTTTTAAGATACAGAAAGAAATATTTCTTCTCTTCCAATGCATATAACATTTTTCCAATATGTACAATATCAAAATTTCTATTGATAATAAAAAACAAGCAACCAACAGCAAAGCAAGAAAATATTACACCAGCAATTGTTTTTACAATAAATTTTGCCAAATAACAAATAAATTTCTTGATGGCAGCTACTACTGAGAAAGCTTCATATTTAATCAAAGTTTAGTAACAGTGCGAAAATGAGGGAAAGTTGAGGTTAAAGATGATGTCATTGTTTTAGTAGCTGTGATAAAAAATAATAGACGTCTAATTTTGGCATTGTTTAAAAAATATGATTTTACATTTAGAAATACTCAGTTTGAGGTAGGAACAAGGCATGTGCTTACAAATATGCAGAAAGTAATTGGGAATATATGTAAGAATCACCTTAACTGTCTGATCCTTAAAACCTTAATAATAATTGTGCCAGGCAAGGTGTGAGAGCCCCAGCATCACAACATGGTGGGCTTGTCGGTGGTAGGGTAATAAGAAGAACTTACCAACATTATAGGTTTGAAAGGGAAAGTTTTGGCCAGGTGTGGTGGCTCACACATGTAATCCCAGTACTTTGGGAGGCTGAGGTGGACAAATCATGAGGTCAGGAGTTCGAAGCCAGCCTGGCCAAACCCTGTCTCTACTAAAGATATAAATAAATTAGATGGGCTTGGTGATGTGTGCCTGTAATCCCAGCTAGTTGGGAAGCTGAGGCAAGAGAATCGCTTGAAGGAAAGGAGGGAGGGAGCGAGGGAGGAAGGCAGGAAGGAAGGAAGGAAGGAAGGAAGGAAGGAAATAAAAAAGCCTCATGTTTAAAATGATTCTTCTCTTCTAACTTGTAAATCTCCCTTTTTCTCCTTACCATTAAGCATAGTTCCATTTCATTGTTTTCGCTTCTTCAATTCTAACCTCTCTGGAGAAATATGAAAGAAAATCATAGAAAAATATAATCTTGGGTTTTTGTATCAGAGTAATTCAGCTTTTTCTAATCTCATGGGCAGATTAGGCCTTATCTTTTTAAGGAAACATTGAAATTATAATTTGTAAAGGCCAGTCTGATGAACTATTTAGATAAAATTTTACCTCTTGTAGCTTCCTGGAGGTTGTAGACTGAGCAGGGTATGGTTGGCTTCATTTTTCTCACTTATAAGTAGAGAATGGAAAATCTGGAATGACATCAGGGATACTGTTTGAGACTGGAAATCACCTGTGAAATAATATTTGTAAAGCCAATTAAAGAGAGTCAAAGATGGACCTCTAAGTGCAAGTATAAAGGAAAAATAGAAACATCTCAATGTTCACCCATTTAAGGGACAGGGAAATATATTAAACCAAGAGAAATTATGTGAGAAGTAATCATAATAGTTGTGTAAGTTCGTGCAATTACCTTAATTCACTTATAGAGAAAGTGAGATACAGAAATGAACAGAGCTAAATGAAGAAGTCATTATCAAATGTCTTTGACTTAAAGACTGTGTCCTTTTCAGGATAGTAGGACCTCCCTAATGAATGTATTCTCCTTTGCAGGGTCAGAATTGAGAATAAATAATTGAGAAAGTGATTTCACCTTGGTAGATTCCAATGCAAAGAAAGCAACACAGTCTTTAAAAGGTTTGCGTATAAAACAATTAGCTGTCAGTCAACAAGAGAAGAATAAAAACATTGCCCTGTAGAAAAGCGATCTATCCAGGCCAGGAGGGGTGTGGCCCATGCCTGTAATCCCAGCACTTTGGGAGGCCGAGGTGGGCAGATCACCAGAGGTCAGGAGTTTGAAACCAGTCTGGCCAACATGATGAAACCGCATCTCTACTAAAAAATACAAAACCTAAAAATGAGCTGGGCATGGTGACGGGTGCCTGTAATTCCAGCTCCTTGGAGGCTGAGACAGGAGAATTGCTTGAACCCCGGAGGCAGAGGTTTCAGTGAGTCGAGATCATAGTACTGGGCTCCAGCCTGGGCAATAGAGTGAGACTCCATCTGAAAAAGAAAAAAAAAAGGAAAGAAAGAAAAGAAAAGTGATCTATCCAATAAATCGAGTAACTTAATATGTTTTTATTATTCTTTCCATTAGTCTAATAAATAGTTGGCAAGAATGATGGTGGGAGTGGTCCAAACTTTGACAATGAAAACAGAGAGACACGAGGACACAGAAATGGCACGTGGGGTTATCCGACGATTGGAAAAGAAGCCTGAAATAATAGGGTAAAGCGCAAGTGAAGCGAGGAAGCGAGAAAAAAAGAAGCAGAAGGAGTTGAAATGCCAGAGGTGTCAGCTACTAACAACACATTTAATGTGAGAGAGGCAGATGGTTGTGGAAGCTAGAGGTGATAGCCATTCAAAGCAGATAGGGGGATCACAGGCTATGATGCTCCAAATGCTACTGCCAAGTGACAGCTACTGGAAATGCCACTCTGGTCATTGTATCACAAGATGTTAAAGGCTTGCCATTCATTAGTTTCAAAGGAATCTAAATGAGTAACCGCATGCATTATAGAGACAAACAACAGATTATGAATGTGTACTTTAATACTTTAGGGGCTGAAAGGAGAAAAGACCAAAGACAATAAAATTCTAATGGCTGTATTTAAAATGAACATTGTGTGAGTCTAAGAAAACTGAAAGCTCACAGTTCAGTTCGTCTTAAAAAATGTGTGTCTGTGTATAATGTTTATATTACATATATCTCATATTAACATGTTATATAATTATCATACATAATACCATTATGTATGTATGTAGTATACATTAGTATCATTATGTGTGGTTATTTGCGTTATACATTATATGCCATTTAATAACATTCAATGTGTTATAAAGATGCAATTTTAAATTACAAGTGGGTTTGTGACAAGATGATTGAATCCACAACTTATGTCAACAGAGGTTGGAAATTGTTGAGGCATGTTTCTAAACTTTTAAAACAGGTCGTCATTTGAGTAGATGTTCTTTTTCTTTTTTCTTTTTTTCTTTTCTTTTTCTTTCTTTCTTTTTTTTTTTTTTTTTTTTTTTTTAAGACAGGTTTTCACTCCTGTCACCCAGGCTGGAGTGCAGTGGTGTGATCTCAGCTCGCTACTTCTGCCTCCTGAGCTCAAGTGATTCTCATGCCTCAGCCTCCAGAGTAGCTGGGATTACAGGCATGTGCCACTGCGCTGAGCTAATTTTTGTATTTTCTTTTTGTAGAGACAGGATTTTGCCATGTTGGCCAGGCTGGTCTCAAACTCTTGAGCTCAAGTGATTCGCCTGCCTTGGCCTCCCAAAATGCTGTGATTATAGGCATGAGCCACCGTGCCTGTGCTGTGTGTATTTTCAAATACAGAATACTGAGTTCAATGCAATTTGGTCATATTTTGAAAATTCCTGCATTATTATGTTGTTGTAATGGAACATTTGGGGTTTTCATAGTTGTTTTGTTTTGTGTCCTCAAGGGGAGATGAACCTTCTTTGTGTGCTTGAAGAATACCGAACATATGGGCCTTGGTGGTTGAGAAGACCATGGAAGCCTAAAAGAACAAATTTGCCCTCTCCCAGCCTTGCTTGCAATTAACTATTAAAGTTCTACGGATGATACACATATTATCTAAGTTTACTGATAGAGAAAGCCAGAGCATAAGCCATAAGCACATGACCTCAACTGAGCCAATTCTAAGCACCAGACTGAGAACCAATAATGCAAGGAGAGAAGATTAGCAAAGGCTCCCTTTGGGTCCTGGCAGTTCACAGTGATACATAAAGACAAAGGCAACGTAAGCTGAAGCAGCTATTACTGAGAAAGAGTAGTACTATTATCTTCACTAGTCAGTGAAGTGTGGAGTGGTTTTTGACTTTGATTCTGAGTGTCTAGACTTCCATTGTTGCTTCTGGTTTTCTGAGCCAGTGTTTGAAAGCATCCCACAGTTCTAACAGAATTAACTCTTAAAAAAATTCTGTTTTTCTTCAAATCCCCCAGAGTTAGCTTCTGTTGCCTTCAACTAAAAACCATGACAAGTACAGTAGATAAGGCATAGTTTGGGATCACAACTTGATTTTTTATTTTGGGAATACAATTTAACTTGTGGAGAGACTGATGTTCTCTATCTCTCCAAAAATTGTTTTTGTTATAAGCTCTATTCATAAGTGAGTTGTAATGTTAAAGAGAAAAAAGAAAAGGATTTTAAATTGCTTTCTGCAGCAGAATGGGAGGCAGTAAAAAGGACAAACTGCTAAACAGAGAAAACAAGACAATAGAAAGGAAAGACACTCTAAAGAGGAACTGACAGGGCTGCTGTGAAAAAATGTAGAGTCTGGGTTTAAATGGCACACGTGACAAGAAAGATGTGATGGAAATAAAAAGGCTTGTTTACTCACACTCCCTCCACATCCCCACTGCAACACACCCACATGCACAATCCTCTAAGGAAAGTTCACATTGCTGGATTTTTTTTTTTTTTAGTTGAGTGCATAGCTGCCTTCAATATAATATTGTGTCACATACTTGAACACAGTGTGAAGTCATAGGTATTTGCATATCAAAACAACAGCAGATAGGTATTTCAATATCAAAACAAAATTGGAGAAACCTGTGTAGTTATAAACAGTACTGCATAAAATAAAGGAAGATTGAGGTTGGGTGGTAGAGAGGAGATAAATATCAGGAAAGAAGGGAAGATGTCCATGTCTGATACGGATTTTCTCAGCTGTAAATGCTGAGGACTGTTTAGTAACCCTCCTTTTATGTGCTCATCAAATGGACATTAAAATATCTATTTGTCGTAGTGGTTTGTGAGATATATTCATATAGCAGGTAATGCTGTGAAGCACTGAACCTTGCTCTAAGTTATACAAAGAGTGGAGACAGAGATAACCAGTTGGAAGCCGGATACGTCTAGGCCATGTGTTACTTCTGTATTTACGTAGTCTTCTCTGTGTAACTAGAACTGCTATAGTGCTAACTGAAGGAGAACTTTAGATCCTAGATATTATAAAAAATAAATACAAAATACCATTGCTATGGACTGAATGTTTGTGTCCCCGACATTTATATGTTGAAATTTAAACCCCAAGGTAATGATAATAGGAGGTGGAGCTACTGGGAGGTGATTAGGTCATGGAGTTAGTGCCCTTATTAAAGAAGCCCCAGGGCACTGCCTTGCCCTTTTCACCATGTGAGGACACAAGGCAAAAGTACCAGCTAATGATGAACCAGAAGGTCTTCATCAGACACTGAATCTGTTGATGCCTTGATCTTGGACTTTCCAGTCTCCAGAATTGTGAGATGCACATTCCCATGGTTTGTAAGGCACTGAGTCTACGGTATTTTGTTACAGTAGCACAAATGGACTAAGATTACTATGGGGGCATAAATCCTCTAAAACAGATTTTCTATAGATATAAAAATTAAAAAGAGTTATGATACAAAGACTCCCAATTTGCTCCATATCCCATGATTTATTCATTTGATCAATAAACATATGTGCAGGGATCTAGGTATAACAACATGAGAAAGTAACAATCCTCGTGGAAATGGTGGAAGCAAGAGAAATTAGAATTTATAAAGGTGTAGTGGTCATAAATGACCACTAGAGTATTTCACTAGAGTATTCATAATACTCTAGTGAAAAACACCACATGACTTGACTTGGTTGTTCTTAATCATGTTAATATTATAACTTTTTCAGAGTTCTCGCTTCAGAGCTCTTGCTAAACACAACAGCAAGAAAATCAGCCTCAATCAAGTTCGGGAGAACTTTTAACTTTGCGTAGCGTCGGTCAAACAAATATCCAGGAAGCTCATGTTATGCTCAGAAAACAGGAAAGGTCTGACCATTAGTCTGTGGTGTTTATCGTAGTTACCTTTGCTCTTTCTACTAAAAGGTGATGCTGAATGTTGTCCTCTGCCCTCTATTGAAACCCTGACCCTCTACACAGAGATCTTTAGAACCACAGTTTAATGGCTATCTTTTATGGTCATCCTATAGTCAGTTAACTAACCAATTGGAAGTGCCACAAGTGGACCAAATAAATCTTCATCATGCAAAGGAATCAAAAACCAAGCAATAACTGGACCCAGCCCTGACTAGGAGAGGCATGACTCCACCTCTCCTCTGGTTGAATAACCACCCATCTTATAACTCCTTGCCTTTCAGAGTTCTCTTGTTTACTTCTATGTGGATCTACTTTTCCATCTCCACCTCCAAAACAGCTCCAGAGTAGAATGGTCTGTTTTTCAAACTTGCAACCTAAGGACACCCAAATGAAAAGAGCTGAATGAAAGAATAATTCATGTAGTTTCTTTCTTGGAATATAATTAAGGGAAAAATAGCTCACATTCTTTCAAGAGGGAACAAAAGATAAATTAATATTGTACAATATTATCTGGTAGCACATTCATTATTTACGTGGTTTTATTTGAGTGATTGGTCAAAAGATTCACAAGAAGATAGTTCAACATACACCTCTGTTTTAAGGGTGAAACTCAGCTGAAATACACTGGAAACAACTCAACTGAAATACACTGGAAACAATTGCTGTGAAAGTCTACAAGGCAATGGGAGTGAAAAGCATAATTTAAAACCATCATGTTTACCTAGTGATCAAAGACTTCAGCCTCTAACAGAGATTCTTCATAGTAGTTCACAAAAGAATGTCATACTGGGGACATAAAAGAGGGTGGGGCTGGGCGTGGTGGCTCACACCTGTAATCTCAGCACTTTGGGAGGCTAAGGTGGGTGGATCACAAGGTCAGGAGATCGAGACCCTCCTGGCCAACATGGTGAAACCCTGTCTCTACTAAAATACAAAAAATTAGGCAGGCATGGTGACACGCACCTGTGGTATCAACTACTTGGGAGGCTGAGGCAGGGGAATCGCTTGAACCCGGGAGGTAGAGGTTGCAGTGAGCTGAGTTTGTGCCACTGCACTCCAGCCTGGCAACAGAGGGAGACTCCGTCTCAAAAAAAATAAAAAGTAAATAAATAAATAAAAGAGGGTAGAATGGGAGAGTTATGAAGGGATCCTACTCTACAGATAGGGTAAATGAAATGTTATGTAAGGTGGCATTGGTACCAGCTACTGATTATGCTAACTAATGCATTCCAAGTTACCAAATTAGATCTCTTATAAACTTGAAATTTTATGATTAAGTGTTGCTAGTTTTGGTTTGGAAAAATGATCCAAAATTTATGTTACATAATTTATAGTTAAAGGAAAATGTAGTACAATGATACTGTATTTTACTGTTGAAGTCTCTGTGTTGAGATTAAGTATTAAGAAGAAAATTACAGTTCAACATAGCAACTGAAAGGGTAAACATATTTAAATAATTACATAAACAAATGTAAACATTATCAATTCCAACTCACTCTGTATACACTTGCCAGTGGTTGCACTGCCTTGTTCAGATCACTGTTGCTTCATGTGTGGCATGGCCAATCAGCTTCATATATGAAGGATGAGAGGCAACCTGAACTGGCCAATCATGACAGCAGACTTTCCTCAGGGAAGTCCAGTCCATCATTGCCTTTTTCCACTCTTCAGTTTCAAATATTATAAGACCTTTTATATGCTGCTTTCTTTGTTAAAGACGGGAGGCTCAAACATGTCATCACTCGGGCCTTCATAACTGACTCCTCTTTCAGTGTTTATGGCTACTATCTTACCCCAGGCTTTCATTTTCCTCTTACTGGGACCATTTCAAGGGTCTTCTAACTGGACTTTCTCCTTCCGGTCTGCCCGTTACTCACTCCATCCTCCATATTTTCATGATGGTCTTTTTAAAATTAGGAATCCATTCATGTTATTTGTCTGTCCCACTGCCTACAGCATAAACTACTACGTCTTTTGTATAAAATTCAAGACACTGCATATTCAATCATGAATGATTCTTGTCCCTAAGCACTTAGCACAGTGCTCAACATACGACAGACTCTCGGTAGGTAAATGTGTGCTAGGTAAAATGAATTAAGGGCAATTGAGTGGCCCTTCCACCGAATGATGTCCTGGTGTCTAGAAATAGATGAATTTTGATTGTTTCCGGCAATTATCTTAAAGATTTCAAACCCAGAAACTCTTCAATTTCATAATTATTCTGATTAGCCCATTCCATTTTATTCAGTTGCTTTGATGATAATCAATAATAGTAGTATTGTTGATTTTCATACAGAAGAGGATAATTTTTAAACATTTTTAATATTTCCAAAAGATGTTTTAGAATCATTTTAACATACATGTTATGTCCTTAGAATAGATTATCTGAAACAGGATTCCAGGACCAAATATTACATATCACTTTAAGCCTTATATTGTAAAATGGTATCTTAAAAAAGCATATCAACTCAGACCCAGATTTATAATGTTCTAACTAAATTATAATATTTTATTTAATTGTCGATAAAAAGCACACTGTTTCACACATAACGCAAATGTAACTTTTTGTAATTTAAATACCTTAAGAGGTCAATTATTACAAAAGAGAGATTGATTCATTCAACAAACATTTCTTGAATACCTAATATGTACAGGACCTCATCCAAGAAAACTATATAGAGTTATAGAAATTGAATTAAGTGAAAAAATGAGTATGTAAACAATCAAAAT